AGCCCCTTTAAGCTCCTTTGCACATTTGAAAAAGGACCAAAAAAAAAAAAAAAAAATCCTCATGATTACTTGAGTGCTTTTTAGTTTCTGGCCTAGAGCTGTCCCAGGCTTATTTTTACATTCTCTACTCCAGTTCTGGAGTCAGTTCTTTTCCGGGGGTCTTTCTGGTACTACTTAGAAACCAAGATCTGAACTTTAAGTGTGCTTATTGCTACTGGGATGTCTTTGCTCTCATAAGCATTGCTAGGAAATACATATATATAATAAAAAGAAACCATTTACACCAAACATATTTCTATATTCTATACATTGAAAATTATGCCTTCTATGTCAAAGGCTATGAAAAAAAAAACCTGAGTTTACACTAATGATCTCTAATTTCAATCCAAAATCATGATTCATTTTTATTTTCCTCCTATATTTTTAACTCCCTTGATAACTAGAAACTTGGCTTTCATTAACCTTAATGTATTTATTTTATTATCTTCTTTTTTTTTTTGAGATGGAGTTTTCACTCTTCTTACCCAGGCTGGAGTGCAATGGGGCGATCTCAGCTCACCACAACCTCCGCCTCCTGGGTTCAGGCAATTCTCCTGCCTCAGCCTCCGGAGTAGCTGGGACTACAGGCACGCACCACCATGCCCAGATAATTTTTTGTATTTTTAGTAGAGACGGGGTTTCACCATGTTGACCAGGATGGTCTTGATCTCTTGACCTCGTGATACACCTACCTCAGCCTCCCAAACTGCTGGGATTACAGGCATGAGCTACCGCGCCCGGCCCTTATTATCTTCTTGTCTGAACCAGTATTGCTTTGTAGCCACTGACTTCTCTTCTTGCAAATGTCAGCATGTGTAAGGACTTTGCGGGGATCAAAGACCTAAAATAATACCAATGGTGGCTGAAACTTAAGTGAGGGTAAGCCCAGTACTTGGTGAATGTAGAGAGGGGCAAGGCCAGAATGCTGGTTGAGACTGTCTAGGTAGAATGTGTGTGACAATAAAACCCTAGGGCTTGGAGAACTTAGTAGTGATTGGTTGGTGATGGTGTAGGTGGAAATTAAGAGAGTGGGGTTACAGGAAGGAAACTTCTGGTTTCTTCAAATGGCAGAGTAAAAATACTGCTGCCTCCTCTTCCAATTGGAAGAAACAAGTGTCTCAACATGATAGGAGTTAGGATTCCTCCCCAATAAAAGGGAACAAGAGAGACTTCAGATTCCAGGACATCAGGTACAGAGAGAGCTTATGTTTATTGAATGGTGAGTCAAACATCCCAGAAAAATACCTATGGATCTCTTATGGACCACCAACAAATAGTTGGTCATCTCCTCATCATATAATGAAGTTCACTGATTAAGCTCACCCTTGTAACCCTGAATTATCAATTTTCAAATGTCTCTTTTTTTTTAGATGGAGTTTGGCTGTTGTTACCCAGACTGGAGTGCAATGGCACAATCTCGGCTCACCGTAATGTCTGCCTTCTGGGTTCAAGCAATTCTCCTGCCTCAGCCTCCCGAGTAGCTGGGACTACAGGCGCACACCACCATGCCCAGCTAATTTTTGTATTTTTAGTAGAGTCGGGATTCCACCTTATTGACCAGGATGGTCTCGATCTCTTGACCTCGTGATCCACCCGCCTCAGCCTCCCAAAGTGCTGGGATTATAGGCATGAGCCACCGCGCCCGGCCTAATTTTTATTTTTTCTAAAGTAGTGTGAATCTTGGGAAGGAGGAAGGTTAGGAAGATAAAAGTGGATTCAAGCTTTTTAAAGTCTTCTGAGGCAACTGTAAAGAGGGAGGAGGATATTTAAAGAAAGGATTTATCAAATGCTGAATGATGCCACCTGTAAAATGTCTTTTCATTAAAATGACAAATTATTTGGACTTAGAGTCCAAATAATGACTCAGTGAGAGATGGTTTGGTGCCATGTGGAAGTAAACTGGATTTTCTCAAGTCTTTGGTATATTTAATAGTGTTAATCGTAGAAAGCAAAATTTCCTCTAAATACCTCCTTTACCCTGGCATATGTAGCAAATCTAAAATTTTTGCTGTTAACAGTATACATGGCAAAAGGAATATAGACTGCTTGGTGGAATAACTCTTAAATGACTGATTTTGTTAGTAATATTGTCATGTCAAAATAATTAATGAATTGAAATTTTCTTTTTTTTTTTTTTTTGAGATGGAGTTTCGCTCTTGTTACCCAGGCTGGAGTGCAATGGCGTAATCTCGGCTCACTGCAACCTCCGCCTCCTGGGTTCAGGCAATTCTCCTGCCTCAGCCTCCTGAGTAGCTGGGATTACAGGCATGCGCCACCATGCCCAGCTAATTTTTTGTATTTTTAGTAGAGATGGGGTTTCACCATGTTGACCAGGATGGTCTCGATCTCTTGACCTCGTGATCCACCCACCTCGGCCTCCCAAAGTACTGGGATTACAGGCTTGAGCCACCGTGCCCAGCCGAATCAAAATTTTCATGGAACAATATGTCAAGTTTTTGCCAACTAGGCCACAAAGTCACAAATGTAATTTTTTTTTTTTTTTGAGACAGAGTTTCACTCTTGTTACCCAGGCTGGAGTGCAATGGCGCGATCTCGGCTCACTGCAACCTCCGCCTCCTGGGTTCAGGCAATTCTCCTGCCTCAGCCTCCCGAGTAGCTGGGATTACAGGCGTGTGCCACCATGCCCAGCTAATTTTTTGTATTTTTAGTGGAGACGGGGTTTCACCATGTTGACCAGGATGGTCTCAATCTCTTGACCTGGTGATCCACCTGCCTCGGCCTCCCAAACAAATGTAATTTTTTAAAATAGCAACAATGTTTTTTAAGATGCTAAACTTTTATGTCCAAATTGTGATTTTTGAAGGCATAAACTGAATTACTTTGTCATTAAAATAGTATCACTGCAACGGATATAATTAACTTATCAAACGTCTACTAAAAAGAAAGTAGAGCACTTTGCAGGACAGGAAGTTTTGGGGAACAAAATAGAAAATGTCCTTGTCAGTATGGTGGGTGCACTTTTACCCACTATCCTGATACTGACAATTCTGTAGAAATTTCCAAGGCAGAAAAAAACACTAATTAGGAATTATAATACAAATTACTAAGGAAAAAAACACACTTCATTATAATCCACATCAAAGCTGTGTATATATTTACTATAGTGTGTTCTAGTCAGATGACACAGCCTAAAAAGAAATGCTAGTGTACTTAAAATATCTCAAACAGGTGCTGTATATTCTATATAGGAGACTGTCATATATAGCTATGTTGTAATATAATAAATGGATATTTCACTCTCAAACTAGCCACGTTTTTCAAGAGTGCAAAACTGAAAACCCTACTAAAAATGTTCAGAATAATCAAATCTAGACAGAAAGTAGATTAGTGGTTGCCTAGGGCTATGGTGTTTGGGAGGTTTTGTGTGTTGAACAGTGTCTCCCCAAATTCATGTCTACTCAGAAGCTCAGAATGTGATCTCATTTGAAAATAGGGTCTTTACGGATGTAACTAGGTAAAGTCATACTGGATTAGGGGCCCTATGTTGTCCTTTCTTTTCTTTTTGAGGAGTCTTGCTCTGTTACCCAGGATGGAGTGCAGAGGTACAATCTGAGCTCACTGCAACCTCTGCGTCCCGGGTTCAAACGATTCTCCTGCCTCAGCCTGCCAAATAGCTGGGACTACAGGTGTGTGCCACCACACCCGTCTAATTTTTGTATTTTAGTAGAGATGGGGTTTTGCCATGTTGCCCAGGCTGGTCTCAAACTCCTGACCTCAGGTGATCCACCCACCTCCCAAAGTGCTGGGAATACAGGTGTGAGCCATAGCACCCAGCCTTTTTTGCTTCCACCTTCCAAAGTGTTGAAATTACTGGCCTGAGCCACTATGTCCAGCTCTTATGTTGTCCTTATAAGAATACCATGTGAAGATACAGAGACACAGGAAAAAAGCCCATGGGAAGACAGAGACAGAGACAGAGATTGAAGTGCTGTAGCTACAGGTCAGGGAATGCTGGCAACCACCAGAAGCAAGGGGAAAGGCACGGGCAGTTTCTGCTGAAGAGCCTCCAGAAGGAACTAACCCTGCCGATACCTTGATTTAGGACTGCTGGCCTTCTGAATTGTGAGAGAATAAATTTCTTATTTAAAGCCACCCCAAGTTTGCAGCAATTTGTTATGGTAGCCCTAGGAAACTAATACAGGGTTGTGTGGGGGAACAGGGGGCCACTGCTAATCAGTGCAAGGTTTCTTTTTGGGGTGATGACAATGTCCTAAAATTGTGATAGTTGCACAACTCTGTGGATATACTAAAAACCACTGAATAGTACACATTTTTTTTTTTTTTGAGACAAGAGTCTTGCTCTGTTGCCCAGGCTGGGGTGTAGTAGCTTGATCTTGGCTCACCACAACCTTTGACTGTCGGGTTCAAGTGATTCTTCTGCCTCAGCCTCCTGAGTAGCTGGGATTACAAGCATGCATCACCAGGCCTGGCTAAGTTTTGTATTTTTATTAGAGATGGGGTCTCATCATGTTGGCCAGGCTGGTCTTGAACTCCGAACCTCAGATGATCTATGTGCCTCAGCCTCCCAAAGTGCTGGGATTACAGGCGTGAGACACCATGCCTGGCCTGAATAGTATACTTTAAATGGTGAATTGTATGTATGTGAATTATATCTCAGTAAAGCTGTTATGTTCATTAAAAAAAAAACCTACACAAATAGAAAGATATCATTATGTTTTTCCTAATTTGTTTTTGATTTAAACATTTTTAGGGTTTAAGACTATTATAACCTCTATAGAAAGAAAACTGAAAATTAAGAGACACTGCTTCACAAATTCTAAAAACAACCATTACCTAACATACTTGAAGAACGAATAAAATTATTTTAAGTTAAAAAATATTTAATATTATCAGATAAAAACATTTATGGTGACAGCTTTACATGGCTCATTCCATACACAGTGAAAAAGGCAAAGTATTACTATGAAAGAAATAAGTAGTTGGGTTTGCAAAAGATTTATTGATCACATAAAAGCAATGACTAGGAGATAACATATTTAACTCATGATTACAAAATTTTTAGAGACAACTAGGTTAAGTATCTCACATTCTGGCTAAGGGAAAAGAATTCATGATCTCTTTAAAGAAGTTAAAAGTCAATACTGATATTGTGGTTCAACTACCAGTGCTTCTCTAATGATCTAGAAATTTGCTATAAATAGCTTTACCTTTTGCTAGTTAATCACTTATTATGATTGGATTTTATTTAACAGTGAGGACTAAAGAGGCAGAATCCTTTTTTTAACCACTGGATAAAGCAGTGACATAAATTAATGATGGGTGCTAAGCTTTACGTTTTATGTTAAAAAGATGGAATGTATAAAGTGGATTGAATACATTTCATGAGAAGTTGAACACATTCCAAATCTGTTTAGGAAGTTGTGAGTAAGTGTGTATATGCCTTGATTCACTGTGGCTTACTTTTAAAATGGAATACATTTGGCACTAAATAAAATAAAGACAAGCCAACTATGTGAGACTAAATTGCTCCATCTGAGTTGCCCATCTTGACTTACAATTCATACTATTTCTTAGTTCTTGACTGAGTACAAACAGATCTAACCACGTAGTGCTTCTGTGATGCATGAAAATAGAATCTAGAGCTAAGATGCTGCTGCTTCACTGATGAGCCAATCTCTCATTCTGCCAAAATCATAGTTACAAATGTGAAATTCATTCAAGAAATTCATATTTTCAACAAATGCCTATAATTTTTCAACTTTTCTTGCTAAATATGTTCTTGGTTTTATGGCCAGCTAAAATATGATCTTTGAATTAAGTAAGGAAATCCATATAAAAGAAACATCTATTTTATAGGGACCTCATTTCACTTGATACTTTCTTTACCAAAACACCAAACCAAAACTTTGTCACCAAACCCTTGGAACAAAGCAGTGGTGGCTGTATTTCTGAGTCTCTGATGAGTCTGACGTTCACTCATTTTTCATGTTTCAAGAGTCTCTTCATTTGCTCCACAAGTATCAACAACACAAATTAAACAACTTGTGACTGGAAAAGCACGAACTTTGGAGTTGGCAACCCATTTGTCTGTTTCAGTATTATATTCGAGAATGTGTCCTAATCGACCAACACCCTGAAAACCAGCCAAGACATAAACTATAGAGCCAACTGCTGCACACTTCACTGTTACACCCTTCCATGGCATTGGTGAGACCATCTTCCATTCGTTCAACTTAATATCGTAATATTCCACATTGTCCAAACCACCTTCAAAAGAATAAAACAAAATGAACAACATGAAAAACGATATGAACAATTCGAAGATTTCTTAAAGTAGTAACTTTTTGTATTTTCCCAATATTTTATTATAAAAATTTTCAAACACACAGAAAATTGTAATTTTACAATGAATGTCCACATAGCCACCAACTAAATTCTTACTCTTATTTTAACACAATAGAAATTTAATATTTTAAAATACTGATTCTTTTCCATAAAATTAAAAATGTTCTATCTATCCTGGAAAAGTGCAAAATAAACTGATCAGTGATTTCCTTTCTGATTAACTTTGATTATAATTATTCAGATGTCCTTCTTTTTCCTCCTATCTTTTAGCAGCTTATGGAAAATAGCAATGGACAGGGACAGAAAAAGGAAAATAAATTATTTGCTACATTTAAGTAATGCTTAAATGTACTGACTAAAATAAAGCTTGTTTCTAGATTCAGTTCAGACTCCCTTTCATTTAAGACAATTATTTAAGATTCTTTAGTACTTCATTATTTATGAAAACAAAATGCCAAATTTAGTCATTTAAAAATTATAATATTGATAATTTCATGCAATGTTTAAAAATATTTAGAAAACTTTACTGTTTAGGACCTGGATACAAGCCTTACAACTTGTATTTAAAAAGTTTTTTAAAGGTTTTTAAAAGTTTGAATATTTCCATTGCTCAAAAGTTCTTAAGCTGCTTCTACATCATTCCCCAGGAAGTATGTGGAAATGTATAGGAGCCATCTAAAATTGTCATAATGACTGGTGACCACGGCAACGTTTCATAAACAAGAACGTTTAACATTCTGCGATGGTTTACCAACGATGTTAGTTACCAGAAAACTATAAAAATAGATATAATAATATACATGGTAAATGCTTGTATCTAGATTTTTAAAAAATGCTTCAATAATTTAAGGAACTATCAGCAAGCTGATCAGGGAAGTGAAACAGTGAATTAACATCACATACCTAAACCATTCTGACCACCCACAGCAAATATCTTGTCTTTTACAAATACCAGCCCATGATTCTTCCTGGCTTCAATCATTGGACACAGCTCAGTCCATCTGAAAAAAATTACAGTTTTTACTGTGCTGGTTTATAGGAAGTAAAATAACTCATACTAATAAGAAAGGTCTATTCTAATTAAGTGCTCGTTTACTACTCATGTGTATATATACACATAAAATGTCTAGCAGGGTGAAAACAAGTTTAACAATGATTACAAGTAATTTATCAATGTATGGGTAAACAGGGATTTTACTCCTTTCAATTCTGATAGGATATAAGAAAATGAGGATATCTGACTATTAAAAAACATATTTTTAAAGGAAATCCTTTTCCTGAGAGGTTTATAAAATCTTGTAATATGGGAACAAAAAACAAGAGGAAGATACTAGAAGATAAAGAAGTAATTCTTTTCTCTTTGTTCACAACTCTGCTGGCAGGAAAAATGAACTAGTTCTATCACATATAGCTTTAATTATTAATGTATGTATAAGTAAAACATAAACTTATAATGTACCTCAGGTAATCAGGAAATTAATAGTATCTGTTTCTATTCACATGTCCATCTTTAAATCTACACTAAGAACTTTATGCTGCTCTGGTAACAAAAAAGTACTATAATTCTGTCAAGTTTAATAACTCACATTGCTGTGTTCACAGCCACTATTACAAATAATGAAACTGAGAATATAAATGTGGACACAAGTGTTAAAGGATATTAATTCACAGATAGCAGCATTATACATATATACACAGACAACAGGGTTTAGTTATTTTTTTCTGAGATTCAATACCTTCTTCTGCATCTACTCCCAAGTCTGACATTTGTGATTGCGAAACTGGTATTGGCACACAGTCTTGTGCTTTTAGCAGCTAATTTAAACCAAAAGACTCCAAACAACAGTAACAACAACAAAATGGAAACTTGGCATAAGTGTAACTCTCTGTAATTATTATTTATATTTCTTCTTTAAAACAACTTGGCAAATTTAACTTTATAAAACCTAATTAAGGGGTCGGGCGCGGTGGCTCACGCCTGTAATCCCAGCACTTTGGGAGGCCGAGGCCGGTGGATCACGAGGTTGAGATCGAGACCATCCTGGTCAACATAGTGAAACTCCATCGCTACTAAAAATACAAAAAATTAGCTGGGCATGATGGCGCGTGCCTGTAATCCCAGCTACTCAGGTGGCTGAGGCAGGAGAATTGCCTGAACCCAGGAGGCGGAGGTTGCAGTGAGCTGAGATCGTGCCATTGCCCTCCAGTCTGGGTAACAAGAGCGAAACCCCGTCTCAAAAAAACAAAAAACAAAAAACCTAATTAGGGCACAATGATTAACTGAAATATTAACAATTCTTTTGTCTTATATTTATGTATTGTTTTAAAAATGGTTTGACAGTCATCACATTTTCAAAGCACTCTGTTAAGCTGTGGTGGACAGCATGGCTGCTGTTTTTAGGAAAAAAACACATGCTCATCCAGGTGAAATGACCGACATACAGCTTGGAAGTGGGAGAGCAGTAAAAACTAGGTCTTCACTGCCCTGCACATAGTGAGAGTTATAGACCGAGCTATCATCATGCATTAAATATAGTATTTCACTTGGAAAAATGCCATTTACATACCACTTTCTTCTCCAAATACTATGTTAATGACATAAAAAGAGAGCATGTTTTTATGTGTATCTAAATCTCCTGAAGGTTTAGAAAACAAGTTTCACAAATCCGCCTTCCTTCTATAATTCACATGCAGAATACATACTAAGTCCCTGCTATCTGCAATCTGAAGTTTAATGTTTAGAAGTGTTTCTTAAAATTCTGACTGCTCAAACTGTGTCACACTGTTTTCATAGGCATAATTTCTTTCTTTCTTCAGATTGTTACTTTTTTATTATGAGCTTCTGCTCCTCTCCATCTTTGAAAAATTGATTTTTAAAATGTGATACACAATACTTGTACATATTTTTATGGTACCTGTGATATTTTGACACATGTATAACAATGTGTAATGATCAAATCAGAGTCACTGGGAAATCCACCACCTCAAACATTTATCTTTCCTTGTATTTTTTTGGGCTAGGGAAGGAACTCAAGTTTCCCATGTGGCTACTGGGGAATATATTTTCTTTGTGTTGGGAACATTCCAGTTCTTCTCTAGCTATTTTGAAATATACAATGAATTATTGTTAACTGTAGTCTCCCTACTCTACTACTGAATATTAGAACTTATGCTATCTAGCTGTATTTCTGTACTTGTTAACCAACCTCTGGTAATCATCATTCTACTGTTTACCTCCATGAGATCAATGTTTTCAGCTCCCACATGAGTAAGAACATGTGTTATTTGTGTTTCTGCAGTCCATACGCTTAATTTTTCCGTTTCCAATTAAACACATTCTAATTATAAAACACTTAAAATGTCCAGGCACAGTGGCTCACACCTGTAATCTCAGCATTTTGGGAGGCCAAGGCTGGCAGATCACCTGAGGTCGGGAGTTCGAGACCAGCCTGACCAACATGGAGAAACCCCATCTCTACTAAAAATACAAAATTAGCCAGGTATGGTGATGCATGCCTGTAATCCCAGCTACTCGGGAGGCTGAGGCAGGAGAATCACTTAACCCGGGAGGCAGAGGTTGCAGCGAGCCGAGATCACGCCGTTGCAAAAAAACCCAAAAAAACAAACAAACAAAAAACATGTAAAACATCAAAACTGGGGAGAAATTCTTATAAAAAATAACTGGGTTGGCTAGATAACTTTTTTTTTTTAGACAGAGTTTTGTTCACCATTTTTGCCTAGGCTGGAGTGCAATGGCGTGATCTCAGCTCACTGCAACCTCTACCTCCCAAGTTCAAACGATTCTCCTGCCTCAGACTCCCAAGTAGCTGAGATTATAGGCATGTGCCACCAGCCCCAGCTAATTTTTTTTTTTTTTTTTGAGATGGAGTTTCCCTCTTGTTACCCAGGCTGGAGTGCAATGGTGTGATCTCGGCTCACCGCAACCTCTGCCTTTTGGGTTCAGGCAATTCTACCTCAGCCTCCTGAGTAGCTGGGATTACGAGTGTGCGCCACTATGCCCAGCTAATTTTTTTGTATTTTTAGTAGAGACAGGGTTTCACCATGTTGACCAGGATGGTCTCGATCTCTTGACCTCGTGATCCACCCGCCTCGGTCTCCCAAAGTGCTGGGATTACAGGCTTGAGCCACTGCGCCCGGCCAGCCCAGCTAATTTTGTATTTTTAGTACAGATGAGGTTTCACCATGTTGGTCAGGCTGGTCTTGAACTCCTGACCTCAGATGATCCACCAGCCTCAGACTCCCAAAGTGCTGGGATTACAGGCGAGAGCCACCACACCTGCACTTGATAACATTTTTAAAAGGAAATAATATAACATTTTTTTGAGAGTTGGATAATTATATTCACACTAACTTTTCATTTGTGAAAATTTAAAGGAATTGAAGGGAGCCTAGAGAATTCAAATTTAACATTTAAGATCAATATGTACAAAATGAAAGAAATACTAGGTCTCGTAAGTTTCTTTTTTCTTTCTTTTTTTTTTTTTTTTTTTGAGACAGAGTCTTGCTCTGTTGCCCAGGCTGTAATGCAGTGGCATGAGCTTGGCTCACGGTATCCTCAACCTCCCAGGTTCAAGTGATTCCCATGTCTCAGACTCCTGAGTAGCTAGGACCACAGGTGCGCACCATCACGCCCAGGTAATTTTTTTGTATTTTAGTAGAGATGGGGTTTCACCATGTTGGCTAGGATGGTCTCAATCTCCTGACCTTGTGATCTGCCCGCCTCAGCCTCCCAAAGTGCTGAGACTGCAGGCGTTAGCCACCGCAGCCAGCCGGTCTTGTAAGTTTTTAAATATTCCTGAAACTGAATATTCACCTAGTTTTAAAAAATACAGAAGATGCAGAATTCCTTTATGTTGTTACTTTAAACAAAAGTAAGTAAAAATACATTATTAATTTACATTGATAGTGCCTGAATAAAGATATAAAAATTTAGAAACCTGGAGTTTATATGGTTATGGCTTCTACTTTTTAAGAGATTTTTTAGAAATAAAAAATAATAGGCCGGGCGCAGTGGCTCAAGCCTGTAATCCCAGCACTTTGGGAGGCTGAGGTGGGTGGATCACGAGGTCAAGAGATCGAGACCATCTTGGTCAACATGGTGAAACCCTGTCTCTACTAAAAATATAAAAAATTAGCTGGGCACAGTGGCGCATGCCTGTAATCCCAGCTACTCGGGAGGCTGAGGCAGGAGAATTGCCTGAACCCAGGAGGCGGAGGTTGCAGTGAGTGGAGATTGTGCCATTGCACTCCAGCCTGGGTAACAAGGGCAAAACTCCATCTCAAGAAAAAAAAAAAAAACAAAAAAAATGAAATAAAAAATAATTAGCAGAATGAATCAGTTTTCCAACTAATATGCTATAACACTTTTTGAGCATAGGGTTTATGGGAAGTAAGGTAGAGGTTCACATAAAAGGGAGCAAAGTTGGTAAACATCTTTAGCAAAAGATAAATTTCAAGACAACTTGCTCTTCTATTATTTGCATTGGAAATAAGTTATTGATTATGCTTTCTTAAATATTTTAAAAATAGGTGGGAATTATAAATAGATAAATGCACATTAGTCATATTTTATAATTAAGCTCTTATTTCTTATTTTATTTTTGTGACAGACTCTCACTCTGTCACCCAGGCTAGAGTGCAGTGGCATGGTCTTGGCTCACTGCAACCTCTGCCTTCTGGGTTAAGGCAATTTTCCTGCTTCAGCCTCCCCAGTAGCAGATTACAGGCAAGCACTACAATACTCGGCTAGTTTTTGTATCTTTAGTAGAGATGGGATTTTGCCATGTTGGCCAGGCTGATCTCGAACTCCTGTCCTCAAGTGATCTGCCCGCCTCAGCCTCCCAAAGTGCTGGGATTACAAGCATGAGCCATCATGCCTGGCCTCTTATTTCTTAATTTTTTTTTTTTTTTTTTTTGAGACAGAGTTTCGCTCTTGTTGCCTAGGCTGGAGTGCAATGGCGCAATCTTGGCTCACTGCAACCTCCGCCTCCTGGGTTCAGGCAATTCTCCTGCCTCAGCCTCCTGAGTAGCTGGGATTACAGGCACGCGCCACCATGCCCAGCTAATTTTTTGCATTTTTAGTAGAGACGGGGTTTCACCATGTTGACCAGAATGGTCTCGATCTCTTGACCTCATGATCCACCCGTCTCGGCCTCCCAATATTTCTTAATTTTAAAAAAAGCAGTAGCTAAAGACTTTCATGTTTTATAGTTTGGCAGTATTTCCTAAACATAAAACTCAAAGCACAAGAGTTTTGATGCAACTCTGGCATAACATTTTAGTTGAACATATTTATCCAATAACTTGTTCTAGGTAAGGGAAGAACAATGGGCAATCCAGCCATATGACCAAGTGATGTTTCTTATCAAAGCTCTCTGGATGTTTCCACAAAAGGTACAACTAGGGTACCATTTGTTTTATGTCCTCATCAGCTTTAATCACTATACTCAGAGCCCCTGACCTTGTCTCCTCTCCATTATTCAATGATTGGCACATTTCCTTTGGCTATATTGAATGTATTCCATCATTAACAACAAGGTCAGAAAAACTGACTAACCAGTTATTTCTTTAGCATTTTGCCTTTTTGACACACTTTGCTTTTTTAAAAGGAGTTGATTTAAGAAGAATTTTATTTAATAAGCATGAATCCAAACATACTTAGGAAGTTTACACCTAAAAAGAACTAGGGAGGCATGATTTATTAATGCCATGGGCCAATATCTAACATTTCTACTTCAGGACAAATGTTTTACTGATCATAAATTTTTCCCCCTCCTCCCCTACATTTCCTGACTGCTCAAACAAAAACATTTTATGAGTTGATGAGTCATTCAGATGTGTCTCATTTGTAGGCATTTATTGCACAAGCAGAACCAGAAAGAAAAAGGTTTTCAAGCCATTTCTGGTGTAAGGGAGGGGTCCAGATCATAAACATGCAACTGTCCCTAGCACACTCAAACTTTATATATATTCTTCGCTCAAGGACAACATTCTTCTATTGGGTTCCTCTGGCCTTTTGACAGACATTTCCTACAGAGCTTATAGAATATAATTAACTGTAAAATAAGTTTTAAATTGATACCTACGTTTCTGTGGCAGGATCATAAACTTCACAGGAATTAAGAACTCTCCCAGAAACATTGTTTCCTAAACTTCCACCACAAACATAGATCAGGCCATTGGCTTCCACCATCCCATGGCTGCAGCGCTGGGTCAGCATGCTGGGCTTTGTGTGCCAGCTTTCAGTTCTTGTATCATAGCACTCAAATAAGTACAGAGCTGAGTTTCCTGTAAAAGAAAAAAGTCCCATCATGCTTAACTTCACTGTGTGTGGGGGTTTGGAAAGAACTGACCACAGAGTTTATTAGTTAAGCAAGGAAGAATTTAGGGTCATAGGGTCATTTTCATATTTAATCAACAACAACAAAGTGTAGGAATAGTTTAAGAAAATGCTAATAATCCTGTTTGTATAGACCCTGGAAAACATCCTTAAAAGAATCAGTTGGAAAGACTTATTTGTTGGTAATTAAACTTTAGAAAAAGAAATGTGATTTAAAAAAAAAATTAAATAAGAAGCCTTATATATGTCTTCAAGCCCCGTAATGCATGATGAGAATTATCTAAACTTCAAATGTTTACATAAAGTGGAAAAGTCTATTTAAGTAAAAAACATACTTAGCAGAGGCTGAAGGAATGGAGTTATCTGCAGTACCACAGAACAGTTACCATCTATCACCTTTAGGATTTATTGTATTTGAAATAAGCTACATCACAACGGTCTGTGAAGAATGCTTTTAAAGAGAGGAAATGGTCCCATTTAGGAAATAACACTATTTTGTATTCTTTGATATATAGTGGGGGGTAAAAACATAAGTACACAGACCAAGAGTAAAACAGTTTACATGGTCTTCCTAGTTTTATTAGCCCATTATTTAAACTAAAAAAATTTCTTGAAAATGAAAGCACACAAAAGCTATTATGTGTCTAGTCTGCACTAGAATAGTCATTTAGAAAAAGTATTCATTTAGAAAAAGATCACTACTGGACTCGAACACACTATTCAATCAGAAAGGTTTTTATATCCACACCCACTACCCATTCGCTCAATAAGCATAAATACCACTAACAGTCATTAGATTAAAAACTTAAAACAAAAAAGATCATTCTTTTTTCTAATAAAAAGAAAGCGAAGATAATACAAATTTTAAAAGCCTGAATATGGTAATGAGTTCTTAAAGAGTCTATAAGTTGAACTATAAAATCTTTAAAACAATTATGTATCCAAAATAACTAATTTAGAACTATAATTCAGATAGTGTCAACTAACGCTTCATTACGATAAAAAAAAAGGGAGATTAATCTAGGAAGCTAAAGTTCTGTAATTTAATGATTTATAAAGGAATGAGATAGATACACCTTTAGGGAGATGGGCTCTAAAATGTGACAAACATGTATTTAAATTACCAAGAGAGTATCTGGACAGATAATACTAGCTGTTTATTTAAATGTGAAAGCCAAGATAGTTGGCTTTAAAGCATTTGCCCCGAACCAAAATACTTACGAAGTCCTTACCTACTTCTGAACCTCCAGATGTATAAATTTTGCCTTCTGCAGCACAGGCGGCAAGGCTGTCTCTAGGTGTTGGAGGGCCCAGTTTGGAATACCAGCTATCCTTCACTACATTGTAACAGTCCATTCGCTTTATCGGGAAAAGCTGAGAGCCTCCCAAAATGTATACTACATTGTCCCAAAACACGCATGCTGCATCTCTTCGTTTTTCAAAGGGGCAGCGGATGTCTGTCCAGCTGTAATCCTGTAACAGAAAAGGACAGGAAGCTTTCAGTAAGGAAAAAATATAATTGAAAAGGACAATACAAAGATATAGTCAAAAATATATATAATACGTTAATTTTATTAGGCTACACATACAAATGTTTGGCTTGAGAGTATTAACAATTTAATCTTGTGTGATTTCTGCAGAATGTTGATTACATGGGGCAGAGGGCAGAAGGCAGGCACATGTGTGCTTTGGGTCCTTTCTAGCTCTAAAATAAACTTAAATATATTTGGATATACCACCACCACCCTGTCTTCTATTCCTTCTTTTATTGGAGATAATACAAGAAGATTCTAAAATAAGTTGTTTCATTATTTTTAAAAAGCCTCTTTTTCAAATGTAAAGGTCTCCATCCCTTCCCTGCCAGATTATACAGTGTGATATAAATAACCAATAGATAACATAAAGCTCAAATTGCCATTATCCTACTGCTAACCTAAAGCCAGAAAGTATTTTGTGGACTTTATTAATTTTCTATATTCAGTTGAGCCAATGTAGTCAGCTGGACTCTTAACACTTAATGTTTATGAGGAAATACTTGAATAACCTGTTCTGAGTACTCTGGATACTCACTTTTCTCCCCAACAATTAGAAATATACACCTATCACTTTGGGAGGCCAAGGCGGGCAGATCATGAAGTCACTAGTCCGAGATCAGCCTGACCAACATGATGAAACCCCCGTCTCTACTAAAAGTACAAAAATTAGCCAGGCATTATGGCTGGTGCCTATAATCCTGGCTACTCGGGAGGCTGAGGCGGGAGAATCGCTTGAACCCGGGAGGCGGAGGTTGCAGTGAGCCAAGATCGCACCACTGCACTCCAGCCTGGCGTCTGGCGACAGAGCGAGACTCTGTCTCAAAAATAAAATAAAATAAGGCCGGGCGCGGTGGCTCACACCTGTAATCCCAGCACTTTGGGAGGCCGAGGCGGGTGGATCACGAGGTCAAGAGATCCAGACCATGCTGGTCAACATGGTGAAACCCCGTCTCTACTAAAAATACAAAAAATTAGCTGGGCATGGTGGCACGTGCCTGTAATCCCAGCTACTCAGGAGGCTGAGGCAGGAGAATTGCTTGAACCCAGGAGGCGGAGGTTGCGGTGAGCCAAGATTGCGCCATTGCACTCCAGCCTGGGTAAGGAGAGCAAAACTCCATCTCAAAACAAAAATAATAAAAAATTAAATAAATAAAATAAAATAAAAAGAAATATACACCTATCAGTATTTGATGGTAAGTGCTGTTCACAGCACCTGTTTCTTCACTATATTTGATAGCATCCAAGAGACCATCCCATTTTTTGAGAAAGGAAGCTACAGTGTTCTTGCTATTTTCTGAAAATAATCAGGATCAGAAAGGAATTCATACCATTCCCAATCTCACCAAGCAAAGCACTATGTGTGAATATTAATGTCGAGCTTCCTTTGAGAAAATCTGACTGGTAACCTATGATTGTATCCAGTGTTTCAGGCATTCATTGAATTAGATCACAGTATCACAGAACATCAGGAATAGTCTCTTAGGAAAGGAAGAGCCCCTAATGTAAAACACTCTGACGCCTGACAAAGATAAACATTCTGCTTTTTAGGTGACCCGGTAAATAGAGCCTTAATAGCTTAGGATTTTATTCTCAAGTTAGTATCAACAGGTGGACACACCAAACAATGGGATAAACATAACATGCTCCTGAGACTTCAATTCCACTCAACGAACACTTGAGAAACTGGGGGAAAATATTTTTACTTGTTCTCTTGGAGAAACTGTACACTACAGAATGAAATCAAGAGATAAAATAATAATCATATTGTACAGAAAATAATCCCTCAAAGATAAACTAAATCATTCTCTTAAATGTTCATCTACTCATAATTCCTATTTGATCAGGTTTATGTAGCAAAGAAATGTGATTTCATTAATTGCATCAACTCAGTGAATCTCAAATCTTGTCACTCTTACCCCTAATTTATTTGACATTTATTACTGGAGAGCTATATGGGAAACTTCCTTTTTTTTTTCCTGATTACAGTAACTGGATAATGTATGTAGTTGAGGGAGGGGAAAAGAATAGATGGAAAGTCATCTGCTCAGTGGGTATGACAGTTGGGCATTACTATAGTGATGAAACCAGATCTAACCTCGGCTTGCAGGTGAAGGCAGTGCTATTTATTGCTCCCTGTACTACTAGGCTACAGGTTAATTGAGAGGAACACAGTTTTTGTGTTAGAAAGAAGATGGACAAAAAACATTAGAGTCATAGACGGGAAGGTGTATGTGTATGGGCAGGGTTAAGGAACTGTTACCCTAAAAATATGATTTAATTCAGTTAAGTTTTACTGAGTATCTATTCCATGAAAGTTCTTAGGCTTAGGTGCTATGCTATGAACATGGGAAAATTTGAAAGCCTGGAAAAGATATAGGTAGAAGGATTTCTTAAATTTTGACGTATCTCTCATTATACAAATGTACACATATAGACACATCCATGTATAAAATCTTGTATTCCTTGGTCCTAGTCAGCCTTTCTTGCCTCTGCTGTCATATGCCATGCTATATTTTTTTCCAAGCTCAAGACTGCTTTCCTTTTTGTAGACTTTCCTGATTTCTTTCTTCTGAATCCTTACCACTCGAAGTCCAGACTTGATGACTGAGCACTCCATTATAACTTGTCCTGTATGATTTTCCAGCTGTAATAGTACTCATTGCTCCTTCAAGAGTAAAAGCTCTGGGCTGGGAGCAGTGGCTCACGCCTATAATCCCAGCACTTTGGGAGGCTGAGGTGGGCGGATCACCTGAGGTCAGGAGTTGAAGACCAGCCTGGCCAACAATCCCTGTCCCTACTAAAAATACAAAAAAAAAATTAGCTGGGTGTGATGTCACGTGCCTGTAATCTCAGCTACTCGGGAGGGTGAGGCAGGAGAATCAGGAGGCAGAGGTTGCAGTAAGCTGAGATTGTGTCACTGCCCTCCAGCCTGAGCAACAAGAGTGAAACTGTCTCAAAAAAAAAAAAAAAAAAGAGTAAAAGCTTCCTGGGGTGAGAAATTGTAAATATTTTCTCTAAGTGCCTCAAGGCAAAAGATCAGTGCGTTATTTTCCTTCAAAGTAAGGACTAATTTTACATAATATATTCTGAAAACATATAGATTCTCAAATAATAGAAATGCTGTAGTAAAAATCAAGGCAACCACAATCCAAAAGGAAATACTTTTCATTTTTAAAACTTGAGAACTTTATTTTTGATCATTTTGAGAGAAAATGAAGGAAGGCAGAGTCTTAGGGAAAAAAGAAAGCAAAATTATTAAAACTTTAAGATTTCTTACAGAAACCAGAGGGAATCAATCCAACCTAAGTTTAAGATGACCAAATTACAAGTATTTTCTCTTTAGCCATTATCTGGTTTATCTTAGTTTCTAAGGGCTTTAAAAAAGGTCATACACCTATGGTGACAATCTACATAAAAAGCAGGTTTATGCCAGATGCCAGAACATTCCTAGAAGTAGTTTCATTAGAAACACTTTTGGCTTCATTCATTTCACAAGGACACAAAGAATGTAGTTCAAAGGAACTGGGAAACTTGGGTACGAAGCCAGGCTCTGTATGGAGGAGCTATGGATCTGAGTTAGAGTCACTTAATTTCTATGGGACTTCAGTTTCTTTACCTGTACAACAAAATGACTGAACTAGATGACCAAAGGTCTCTTGCCTTTCAGTCCTATCATCCAGTTATCTTAGAATCCAAATGATTTAGAATGTATCCCTAGCCAAATAGCTACTATTAATTTATTAGTTAATTAAGTACTTACCTTTCCAGGAACTATGCTGAAATATTTTAAAACATAATCTTATTTAATTTCTTTAATAACTGTATAAGGTAATATACTCATTTACAGATAAGAAAACTAAAAGATATTAAGTAACTTATCAAAGGTTACATAGTTAGAAAATGGTGAACCCATGATCTAAATCTAAATCCATCCGACTCCAAAGCTGTGTCTTTAGCCCTATGCTGCCCTGCTTCTCTAAAAGTATTCCATGGCCTACTAGAAAGAACACAGGACTGGTAGTAGAGTGATTTGGTTTCCTCTTGTCACTGTTGTGTTTCTAACGAAGTGATTCTGGGCACTTGAACTGCCACTGTTGGATCTCAACAGCCTCATCTATAAAATCAGGAGGATAGCAGGATGGCTGTTGAGGTCCTGCACAATCTCCCTATCTTATCACTTATAAACACAATGCTCAGCCACCAAAAGCACAGCTAATATAAAAATAGAGGTTTTCTCCATGTGTTTGTATAGTATTTGGCCCAGGGCTCAGCATACTGAGGGAATGTTCTCAGTTCACATGTATCATCCAGTTGGGCCACCTTCATTTTTGACTTTGCAAAGGTCAGAGACTGAAGATGCTGCACTCTGCTCCTGGTTTGTACCAGTTCTTCACTGCAGCACTATCTTTATATTACACTGGCTCCAGCTGGCATCTTGTCTCTATGGCTCCTGGTTCTATGGTGGCTGCACCACTGAAGACCAGGGGGACCTGTAACTAACCAGCAAGTACCTGGGGTTGGGGGCCAGGTTTTCATCTCCTGTTTTTGTAAATCTAAATAGTTTCCACTTTTATCCTTTGTTAGAGCAATCTTCTCCTAGGAATTTATCCTAAAGGAAAAACTGGACAGTATGCAAAGCTGCCAGATATAAAGATGTTTCACTGCAGGAGTATTTTAAACAGAAACCTGTAAATCGACCAAATGTGTTTGATGAAGATGAGTATTAAATTATGGTATATCTTTGTGAAGGAATACTCTACAGCCCTTCAAAACGATATTCTCACTGATGTAAAAATATTTCCCTAATAAAATGGTGAGAGTAAAATATACTTTGTGAAATAGCATGTAGGCATGATCCTGTATTTGTAAAATGTGAGGACTGAAATGTTCACTAACTACTGATGACTGTCTTTGGACACTGGGAGCACTTTGGCTTTC